GGTGCCTGTAGTCCCAGCTACTCGGGAGGCTGAGGCAAGAGAATTGCCTAAGCCCAAGAGGTTGCTGTGAGCTGTGACTGCACGGCACCCTACCAAGGGCAACAAAGTAAGACTCTGTCTCTAAAAAATAGAGAGAGAAAATAAGCAAGTTGAGATCTGAAAATTGATTTCCTCAAAACTATTCAATGCCCAGGTGAGGCATGGAGGTGGCTCACTCCTATAATCCTAGCACACTGGGAGGCTGAGGCAGGTAGATTGCTTGAGCTCATGAATTCGAGACCAGCCTCAGCAAAAGTAAGACCCTGTCTCTGCTAAAAGTAGAAAAACAGGCAAGAGGATCACTTGAGCCCAAGTTGGAGGTTGCTGTGAGCTATGACACTGCAGCACTCTTATCTAGGGCAATGGCTTGAGGCTGTGTCTCAAAAAAAAAAAATTAAACTATTCAGTGCCCTAGACCCCCTTAGAAAATTGTGTATTTCTAGGGCATTGAAACATCAGTTTGAAGACTCCTGCATGGGGCATAACTGCTGTTGCTGGGTTTGTGGTATATCTTTAACTCTTGGGTGACAAATCTGTTTCCATATATAGCCACCATATAAGCTTATGCTCACAGTTCATGTTGTTCCACATTCTCACCAGCATTGAGTATTATGACTTTACTATTTTGCAAATTGAGGAATGTGAAATGCTACCACATTGGGGTTTTATATTTTTTTATTGAGACAGAGTTTCACTTTGTGTTTTTTTTGAGACAGAGTCCCATGATGTTGCCCTTGGTAGAGCGCTGTGGCATCACAGCCCACAGCAACCTCAAACTCCTGGGCTCAAGCAATTCTCTTACCTCAGCCTCCCAAGCAGCTGGGACCACAGGCACCCACCGCAACGCCGGCCATTTCTTGTTGCAATGGTCACTGTTGGTTAGCTGGCCCAGGCTGGGTTCAGACCCGCTAACTTCCATGGATGTAGCTGGGACCATAACCACTGTGCTAAGGGCGCACAGCTATTTGTGTTTTGTTTTTTTTTTTTTTGAGACAGTCTCAAGCTGTTGCCCTGGGTAGAGTGCTGTGTTGTCACAGCTCACAGCAACCTCAAACTCTTGGGCTTAAGCAATTCTCTTGCCTCAGCCTCCCAAGTAGCTAGGTCTTATGGGCACCCCCACAACACCTGGTTATTTTTTTTTCTGTTGCAGTAGTCATTTTAGCGGGCCTGGGCCAGTTTAGAACCCGCCAGCCTCAGTGTATGTGGCCAGCGCCCTACCCGCTGAGCTATTGGTGCTTTCCCAGAGTCTTACTTTGTTGCCTTTGGTAGAGTGCTCTGGCATCACAGCTCACAGCAACCTCAAACTCTTGAGCCCAAGTGATTTTTTTTTTTTTTTTTTTTGAGACAGGAGCCTCCAACTGCCTGCCTGGGTAGAGTGCTGTGGCATCACAGCTCACAGCAACCTCCAACTCCTGGGCTCATGCTAGTCTCCTGCCTCAGCCTCTGGAGTAGCTAGGACCACAGGCGCCTGCCACAGTGCCCAGCTATTTTTTGGTTGCAGCTGTCGTTGTTTGGCGGGCCCCAGCTGGATTCGAACCCTGCACCTTGGGTGTATATGGCTGGCACCTTAGCCATTTGAGCCACAGGCGTGGAACCTCAAGTGATTCTCTTGCCTCACCTATGGTAGCTAGAACTATAAGTGCCTGCCACAACGCCCAGCTAGTTTTTTTGTTTTAGCAGGCCCTGGCCAGGTTCAAACCCACCAGTGCCTGTGGGCAGCATTCTTAGCTATAGACACCGAGCCCAGGTGCAGTTTTAATTTGCATTTTCCTATGTGCCAATGAGGTTGAATCTTTCATTTGTTTATTACAGATTCTTTGGTGCCTTGCATGTTTGTGTCTATTTCCTTTTTCCTGTTGGATTACTTCTCTTTGTTTTGATTTGAGACATTCCTTTTCATTTCTCCTTTGTGCCTTTGGGGCACATCCCAGGTAAGGAGGTGTAAGAAGATCTGTCTGCTCCCAGTGTCTGACTTCCTTGTATTTCTCTTGCAGAAAGTGGTTTCTTGAGAAGTTAAAGCCTGAAGGTATCATCCTTTTTGTTTCTTTTCTTGGATGTGTTGAAAATAGAATCTGGGGGTGATCTAGGAAAAGGACCCCAATAAGTAATTGAGTTCCAGCCGCTACTCCACCATGGAACCTCAGTTTCCCCATCTATAAATGCTTTTTTTTTTTTTGCAGTTTTTCCCGGGGCTGGGTTTGAACCCATCACCTCTGGCATATGGGGCTGGTGCCCTACTCACTGAGCCGCAGGCACCACCCTATAAATGCTTTTAAAGTTGGTTAGTTTATAGGCTGGGCACAGTGGCTCTTGCCCATAGTCTCAGCGCTCTGGGAGGCTGAGGCAGGTGGATTACTTGACTTCAGGAGTTTAAGACCAGCCTGAGCAAGTGTGAGACCCCGTCTCTAAAAATAGCTGGGCATTGTGGTGGGTGCCTGTAGTCCCAGTTACTTGGGAGGCTGAGGCAAGAGGATCACTTGAGCCCAAGAGTTTGAGGTTGCTGTGAACTATGACGCCACGGTACTCTACTGGGGGCAAGAAAGTGAGACTGTGTCTCAAAAAAAAAAAAAAAAAGCCTTTTACAGTTGGTTAGTTTTGAACAGGACCACACCCCATTGGCTGATTTTCTGACATACCAAAGCCATGTGTCAGTTCGTGTCAGAGGGAGGTATAGATGTCCAGACCACCTTCAGTTTTGAACCTACCCCTGCCTTGGGCTTGGCTCCCTTTCAGGAGTTAGAGGGAAGCTATAGCTGCCTTCTCCACCCCCAGTTGGAGCCTAATTTTCCCTGTCCCTACCCTTGGTGAGCTTCTGGGGGTGGGGGTACAGGGCAGCACAGACGCACTGAGCCCTTTCCCACCTGCAGGTCTCTACCAGCTCCTTGCCGGCTTCCAGGACAAGTCAGCCTACGCACTTTGCACATTTGCACTCAGCACTGGGGACCCGAGTGAACCTGTGCGCCTATTTAGGGGCCGGACCTTGGTGTGTACCCACCCAACCTCCAATCCCCAATGTGATGCCTGGGGCTCTGCTGACAGCTATGCCTGGGGTCCTCTGCATGGTAGTGGTGGGAAGGTCATCCTGGGGCCAGAGTTAGTTACTGAAGGCCTGGCTGAGAGGCACCCCAGGGCAGAGCAATTAGAAATGCTGTCAATCTCAGGACAGTGGCAGGAATGGCTCCCCGGGACAGTTAGTTATCTAAACTCTTGAGAGGCGCCCCTGGACAACGCAATTAGAAGTACTGTCAATCCCCAAGCCTGTTTGACCCTGGGGCTGGTGTTTCAGGGAAATACTTGGCTAACAGCTAGTGTGGCCTGATGGACCCAGACTACAAACTGAAGGTGATAACTCCCAGAGCTACTCTGTAGCCCAGACTTCTCCAAGCTCCACTCTCCTTATCCACTGCCAAGGTGCTTGAGTGTCTCACAGCCTTTCCAGCTTGTCGTGTTCATATAGAGTCTTAATCCTTTGCCCGGCGGCATTCCTTCTCCAGCTGCCATTCAACACCTAACACTGCCTCTCAGATCCTCAGGTCCAGCTGCCTCTCCCAGAGTCCAGACCACCCTCCCAGCTGGCCTGCTCCCCCTGTGGCAAGATTGTGCCTTGTGGTACATTGCTCCTGCTCAGGGTATAATCCAGAGATGCCACTAGGAGTCTGTCCATAGTTGTTTTATCTAACCCTTTTTTTGGTGATGAAGATAGTGGTGGTAAAAAACATAACATTCACCATCTTAACTTCCCCCATCCCACATCTCCTCAAATTCCTTTTTAACCATCTTAACATTTTTTTTAAGTATACTATAGTAGTGTTAATTATATGCTCATTGTTGTACAACAGATCTCTAGAACTTTTTCATTTTGGAAAATTAACTATACCCTTTGAAAAACTCCCTTTTCCCCTGGCAACCACCATTCTACTAAACTTTTTAAGAATTTGACTGCTGGCTCGGCGCCT